CTTGTATGCAGAACACATCATGCGAGGATGTGCGGGGCTTGAGGAATGCAAGGCTGGGGTGGAAATGGCTGGAAGAAACATTCACAACCTCAGATATGCAGATGACACCACTCTGATGGCCGAAAGCGAGGAGGAGCTGAGGAGCCTTCTAATCAAGGTGAAAGAAGAAAGCGCAAAAGCCGGGTTGCAGCTAAACATCAAAAAAACCAAGATTATGGCAACAAGAATGATTGACAACTGGGAAATAGAGGGAGAAAATGTGGAGGCCGTGACAGGGTTTGTATTTCTAGGTGCAAAGATGAGTGCAGACGCAGACTGTGGCCAGGAAATCAGGAGACGCTTCCTTCTTGGGAGGAGAGAAATGTCCAGTCTCAATAAAATAGTAAAGAGTAGAGACATCAGACTGGCAACAAAGATCCATTGCCTAGTCCAAGCCATGGTCTTCCCCATAGTAGTCACCTACGGATGTGAGAGCTGGACCTTAGGGAAGGCTGAGCGAAGGAAGATGGATGCTTTTGAGCTGTGGTGTTGGAGGAAAGTGCTGAGAGTGCCTTGGACTGCGAGAAGATCCAACCAGTCCATCCTCCAGGAAATAAAGCCCGACTGCTCATTGGAGGGAAAGATACTAGAGACAAAGTTGAAGTACTTTGGCCACATCATGAGGAGACAGCCAAGCCTAGAGAAGGGAATGATGCTGGGGAAAGTGGAAGGGAAAAGGAAGAGGGGCCGACCAAGGGCAAGATGGATGGATGGCATCCTTGAAGTGACTGGACTGACCTTGAAGGAGACCCTGGGGGTGGTGACGGCCGACAGGGAGCTCTGGCGTGGGCTGGTCCATGAGGTCACGAAGAGTCGGAGACGACTGAACGAATGAACAACAACAGGTCAAAACCAGCACTTTGAATTGAGCTCGGAAGTGGACAGGCAGCCAGTGGAGCTGACGTAGCAGGGGGTGGGGTATGCTCCCTGTATGTAGCTATTAAAACTTGTGCGCCAGCTGTGCCTGTACCTTGGGAGGTCTGACTTGGCCACGGTGGTCCACGCTCTGGTTACATCCCATATAGATTACTGCAATGCACTCTACGTGGGGTTGCCTTTGAAGATTGTTCAGAAGCTCCAGCTGGTCCAGTGAGCGGCACACAGGGAGCATACAACTCCCGCGTTGCATCAGCTCCACTGGTTGCCAGTCTGCTCCTGAGCACAATTCAAAGTGCTGGCTTTAGCCTACAAAGCCCGAAACAGTTCCAGCCCAGGCTACTTGTCCAAACGTATTTTCCCCAACAAACAGCTCGGAAACTAAGATCACCCAGGGAGGGCCTGCTCTCAGTCCTGCCTGCCTCACAAGTGGTGGCCCCTCGATTGAGGAACTCCCTCCCTAGTGACATCACATCAGCCCCCTCCCTACTAGCCTTCAGGAAGAGAGTCAAAACCTGGCTCTGGGAACAGGCTTTTGAAAATGAGGGCAAGGCAGTATTCAAAATATAGAATTACGTGCAATTTGACCTTGAAATGGCCTTAGACCCTGAACTCTGGGAAGGAACCCCACGGGAGCATTGCAGCGCACCCAAATACCTGGGAGTCACTCTGGACCGTGCTCTGACCTACAAGAAGCACTGCCTGAACATCAAGCAAAAGGTGGGTGCTAGAAACAATATCATACGAAAGCTGACTGGCACAACCTGGGGATCACAACCAGACACAGTGAAGACACCTGCCCTTGCGCTGTGCTACTCTGCTGCTGAGTATACATGCCCAGTGTGGAACACATCTCACCACGCTAAAACAGTAGGTGTGGCTCTGAATGAGACATGCCGCATCATCACGGGGTGTCTGCGCCCCACACCCCTGGAGTAATTACACTGCTTAGCCGGTATTACACCACCTGACATCCGCCGGGAAGTAGCAGCCAATAGTGAAAGGACCAAAGCAGTGACATCTCCAGCCCATCCCTTGTTTGGGTATCAGCCAGCATGTCAATGACTTAAATCGGCAGTGACATCTCCAGTTCATCCCGTTTGGGTATCAGCCAGCACGTCAACGACTTAAATCTAGAAATAGTTTTCTAAGATCTACAGAGACACTCGCTGGAACACCTCAGCAAGCGAGAGTCCAAAAGTGGCAGGCTCAAACCCAGCACCTCAATCCATGGGTGATACCAGATGAGAGACTCCCCCCTGGGCACACAGAAGACTGGGCGACTTGGAAGGCGCTGAACAGACTGCGCTCTGGCACCACGAGATGCAGAGCCAATCTTAAGAAATGGGGCTACAGGGTGGAATCCACGGCATGCGAGTGCGGAGAAGAGCAAACCACTGACCACCTGCTGCAATGCACCCTGAGCCCTTCTTCCACATGATGCACAAGGGAGGACCTCCTTGCGGCACCACAAGATGCAGAGCCAATCTTAAGAAATGGGGCTACGGGGTGGAACCCACGGCATGCGAGTGCGGAGAAGAGCCAACCACTGACCCCCTGCTGCAATGCACCCTGAGCCCTTCTTCCACATGATGCACAAGGGAGGACCTCCTTGCGGCAACCCCAGAGGCAGCACTCCAAGGGGCCACACACTGGTCAAAGGACATTTAGTCAACTACCAAGCTTGCAAAATCTGTTCTGTCTGTTTGTAAAAAAATTGTTTAAAATGTAACACAATTTTCTGGTTGATACTGCTTGATACTGACACGATAAATAAATAAATGCTGACTCCATCACTTCCAGACAGGTGTTGGCTTTCCCTCTTAATGGATAATTGGTTTTCCTGCATATTGTAGGAACCCACTGTGTTTACTTCCTTAACTTAAAAGAGTAATTGTCTCTGCTAATGTAGGCATGATGTTTTCCACCAAGAGTTAATTATTGTATCTGGTCGTCAATGTTGGCAGTTAGCAACTTTAGGAGCTTTCCAGCCCTCAACTCTTAGAATCGCATCTCTAGGCTATATAGGCCCCGGCCATACACCTTCGCTACAAGATTATTCAAATTGCACATCACATATTCATCACAATTAGACGAGACCCCACAAAAGGCATCTAGCCCAACTCTCTTCAGGCAGGCAGAAAGGGACATTAGAATCCCTCCCAACAGACAGCCATCCAACCTCAGCTCAAAAACCTCCAGAGGGGACTCCACGCTCACAGGCAGTCTATACTTCACTGGGGCTGGAAGACACCCCAAAGGGCATCTAGTCCACCCCCCTTCAGCCAGCCAGGAAGACACGCTCAAAGCTCCCAAGGAAGGCGATTCAGCCTCTGCGTAAAACCACCCAGAGAGTTTTGACCACTGCAGAAGAGGAGGAGTGCTGATGTGCTGAAGTGTAGGCTCTGTTATAACTTGATATTTGCACAATTTGTTAATTGACTTACAGGAATTATCATGAAAATAGATATGTTTCTATTTCATAATGATATTTGCAATGAACCACATGGAGCAGCTGTAAAGGAAACTACACAAGAATTATTTATACAGTAAAGATTATGTATTATATTATCCCTCTATCTATCTATTTAGAATCATAGAATCAAAGAGTGGGAAGAGACCAACTCCTGGGCCATCATCCAGTCCAACCCCATTCTGCCAAGAAGCAGGAATATTGCATTCAAATCACCCCTGACAGTGGGCCCTAGAAACAACATCATACGAAACCTAGAGTTGGAAGAGACCTCCTGGGCGTTCATCCAGTCCAACCCCATTCTGCCAAGAAGCAGGAATATTGCATTCAAATCACCCCTGACAGATGGCCATCCAGCCTCTGTTTAAAAGCTTCCAAAGAAGGAGCCTCCACCACACTCCGGGGCAGAGAGTTCCACTGCTGAACGGCTCTCACAGTCAGGAAGTTCTTCCTCATGTTCAGATGGAATCTCCTCTCTTGTAGTTTGAAGCCATTGTTCCATTGCGTCCTAGTCTCCAAGGAAGCAAAAAACAAGCTTGCTCCCTCCTCCTCCCTGTGGCTTCCTCTCACATATTTATACATGGCTATCATATCTCCTCTCAGCCTTCTCTTCTTCAGGCTAAACATGCCCAGCTCCTTAAGCCGCTCCTCATAGGGCTTGTTCTCCAGACCCTTGATCATTTTAGTCGCCCTCCTCTGGACACATTCCAGCTTAGAGTCAATATCTCTCTTGAATTGTGGTGCCCAGAATTGGACACAATATTCCAGATGTGGTCTAACCAAAGCAGAATAGAGCGTGGGTAGCATGACTTCCGTAGATCTAGACACTAGGCTCCTCTTGATGCAGGCCAAAATCCCATTGGCTTTTTTTGCCGCCACATCACATTCCTGGCTCATGTTCCCCTTCCTCCCCACGAGGACTCCAAGATCTTTTTCACACGTACTGCTCTCAAGCCAGGCCTCATCGTCCCCCATTCTGTCTCTTTGCATTTCGTTTTTCCTGCCAAAGTGGAGTATCTTGCATTTGTCACTGTTGAACTTCATTTTGTTAGTTTTGGCCCTTCATCTCTCTAATCTGTCAAGATCGTAATTTGAATCCTGCTCCTGTCCTTTGGAGTATTGGCTATCCCAATTTGGTGTCATCTGCAAACTTGAGAATCCTGCCTTCTAGCCCTTCACCTAAGTCGTTAATGAAGATCCTGAACAGGACCGGGCCCAGGACGGAACCCTGCTTTGGGCACTCCACTTGTCACTTCTTTCCAAGATGAAGAGGAAGCATTAGTGAGCACTCTCTGTGTTCGTCCACAGATACTATCTATAGTATCTTTTGTATTTTAGGGTTTGTTGTTTTTTTAGTCTCAAACATGCGGCCCACTCATTGTTATTTTATTGTGTATGATTTTGCTTTATCTTTTTTTGTACTCATATGTTGTATGTATTTTACTGTGTTATGATTGTGTTTTGGTTTTATTTTATTCTAATATGCTGTTGGGCTTGGCCTCATGTAAGCTGCCCCGAGTCCCCCCCATTTGGGAGAGAGATGGTGGCAGGGTATTAAATAAAGTATTATTATTATTATTATTATTATTATTATACAATATGCTGGAAACTGCTTTGAGTCCCCCAAGGGGTGAGAAAAAATGATATATAGATGAAGTAAATAAACAGAATAATAAAAATAAATAATACATACAAATACAATACAAATTACAAACTCCAGGCAGTGTTTGCATGTATGTATGTGGGAGGTAATGTAATTTTGTGGTTGAATAATATGTTTCTCTATATATTATTACATTGTGATATATTGTAAATCTTGTATGTGGTTGGTTTAACCTCCGGTTTGCCAGGTAAACTGAATTCCCATGTTGCAAAAGTATGCATATCTAAGTGTGTCACCAACACAAAAAGTTTGCAATGCTCCGTCTTGGAGTTTCTCTGGAGTCAAATACCGTTGTTTTCTCCAATATGAATTCTATGATGTCTACGTAGATGTGAACTCTGAGTGTAGCTCTTTCCGCACTCCAGGCACACTTAGGGTTTCTCCCCGGTCCTTTGATGTAAATGTAGATTTGCACTCAAGGGAGAAGCTCTTGCTGTACTCCAGGCATGTATAGGGTTTCTCCCCAGGGTGAGTTCTTTGATGGGAACGTAAATGTGAGCTTTGGGTGAAGCTCTGCCCACATTCCAGGCAGATATAGGGCTTCTCCCCAGTGTGAATCCTTTGATGGATATGTAGACCTGAACTCTGAGTGAAGCTCTTCCCACACTCCGGGCATTTATAGGGTTTCTCCCCCGTGTGAGTCCTTTGATGTGAACGTAGACTTGCACTATGAGTGAAGTTCTTTCCACACTCCAGACACATATAGGGTTTCTCCCCAGTGTGAATCTTTTGATGCGAACGTAGAGCTGAACTCTGAGCAAAGCTCTTTCCACACTCCAAGCATGAATAGGGTTTCTCCCCAGTGTGCGTCCTCTGGTGTGAACGTAGGCCTCCACTCCAAGTGAAGCTCTGTCCACACTCCAGGCATGTATGGGGTTTCTCCTCAGTGTGAGACCTTTGATGTGAGTGTAGACCTGAACTCTGAGTGAAGCTCTTCCCACACTCCAGGCATACAAAGGGTTTCTCCCCAGTGTGAGTCCTTTGATGTGAAAGTAGATGTGAATTTTGAGTGAATCTCTGCCCACACTCGAGGCACATATAGGGTTTCTCCCCACTGTGAGTCCTTTCATGTGAACGTAGACCTGAACTCTCAGTGAAGCTCTGTCCACACTCCAGGCACGTATAGGGCTTCTCACCAGTGTGAGTCCTTTGATGTGAGTGTAGAACTGAATTCTGAGAGAAACTCTTCCCACACTCCAGGCATGTAAAGGGTTTTTCCCCAGTGTGAGTCCTCTGATGTAAACGTAGCCCTGAACTCCAAGTGAAGCTCTGTCCACACTCAAGGCATTTATAGGGTTTCTCCCCAGTGTGAATCCTTTGATGTGAGCGTAGACTTCCACTCTCGGTGAAGCTCACTCCACACTCCAGACACGTATACGGTTTCTCCCCAGTGTGAGTCCTCTGATGTGAACGCAGAGCTGAATTTTGAGTGAAGCTGTGTCCACACTCGAAGCATGTATACGGTTTCTCCCCAGTGTGAGTCCTCTGATGTAAACGTAGACCGGAATTCAAAGTGAAGCTCTGTCCACACTCCAGGCATGTAAAGGGTTTCTCCCCAGTGTGAATCCTTTCATGCGAACGTAGACTTCCACTCTCAGTGAAGCTAATTCCACACTCCAGGCACGTATACGGTTTCTCCCCAGTGTGAGTCCTTAGATGGGAACGTAGACCTGAACTCAAAGTGAAGCTCCGTCCACACTCCAAGCACGTATATGGCTTCTCCCCAGTGTGACTCCTTCGGTGCGAGCGTAGACCTCCACTCTGGGCAAAGCTCCGTCCACACTCCAGGCACGAATAGGGTTTCTCTCCTGTGTGAGTCCTTTGATGTGAACGTAGGCCTGAACTCTGAGTGAAGCTCTTCCCACATTCCAGGCATGGATAGGGTTTCTCCCCAGTGGGAGTCCTTTGATGTCCATGTAGATATGAACTATGGTTGAAGCTCTCTCCACACTCCAGCCACTCATGGGGTTTCTCCCCAGTGTCAGTCCTCATTTCCCTGGTCAAGAAAGAAGCAAAAGATCAATCACGACAGCCAGAAACCTTCTTTACCTCCAAAGTTTCCCCCTTTCCCTTCAGGGGTCATGTTGAAAATGGAACTACAGAGAAATGCAGGGTCTCAAGGGCATACACAGATCCCCGCAAAGGCAACCAGTGAGTCTTTAAAAAGAAGGGAATGAATCTAGAAAGAAGGCAAGAAGGGAGGGAGGAAGAAAAGAATGAATTATAGCCAGAAGAATGGGAAATAATTCCAATATTGGAACATCACATTGATTTCCTTGGGTCTGCACCAAGTGTAAACAGATGACTCTCATGGAACAGAGGATCCAACAACCCGAGGACCCTATTAAGACCCTTAAGGACATTCAGGAACTCGAGCTTTTCTTGGACACCACACAGCACACTGTTCTAGACACGTCGCCCACATCACACCAACACCAACATTATGGGGAGGTTTATGAGGAGATCACTTCGGATGTGGACAACCCTCAGGCTTGGAGGAATAGAGGGGTAGCATTACTTCCCTAGATCTAGACACTATGGCCTGCGTCAAGAGGAGCCTAGTGTCTAGGTCCAGAGAAGTCCTGCTCCCCATGCTCTATTCCGCCTTGGTTGGACCACTTTACTTGGAATTCTGTGTCCAGTTCTGGGCACCACAACTGAAGGGAGATGTTGACAAGCTGGAATGTGTCCAGAGGAGGGCGACTCAAATGATCAAGGGTCTGGAGAACAAGCCCTATGAGGAGCGGCTTAAGGAGCTGCTGGGCATGTTTACCCTGAAGAAGAGAAGGCTGAGAGGAGGCAGGGTGAGGGCCATGGATAAAGATGTCAGAGGAAGCCACAGGGAGGAGGGAGCAGATCAAGGGTCTGGAGAACAAGCCCTATGAGGAGCGGCTTAAGGAGCTGGGCATGTTTAGCCTGAAGAAGAGAAGGCTGAGAGGAGATATGATAGCCATGTATAAATATGTGAGAGTAAGCCACAGGGAGGAGGGAGCAAGCTTGTTTTCTGCTTCCTTGGAGACTAGGACGCAATGGAACAATGGCTTCAAACTACAAGAGGAGATTCCATCTGAACATGAGGAAGAACTTCCTGACTGTGAGAGCCGTTCAGCAGTGGAACTCTCTGCCCCGGAGTGTGGTGGAGGCTCCTTCTTTGGAAGCTTTTAAACAGAGGCTGGATTCTTAATTACTCCTCACACTATTCCTGCATGGCTCGATATTGGATCGTAAGCTAATTTAAATACGAATTAATAACGAATTACGAAATTAACGAACTGGATCGCCCAAGCCTAATATATACATAAGATTGCTCCAGGCACTGTCAGGCCATCATATGCTAATCAAGGTGGTCAGTTGAAACATTCACCCCCTAGCTCCAGCAGACAAGAGTCCTTTGTCCCACCCTGGTCATTCCACAGATATATAAACCCTTTTTCCTAGTTCCAACAGACGTCACCTTTTTTTTTTTTGTCGTGTCAGGAGCAACTGCTCCTGTTGTGAGAGAATTGGCCGTCTGCAAGGACGTTGCCCAGGGGACGCCCGGATGATTTTGATGTTTTATCATCCTTGTGGGAGGCTTCTCTCATGTCCCCGCATGAGGAGCTGGAGCCGATAGAGGGAGCTCATCCGCCTCTCCCGGGATTCGAACCTGCGACCTGTCGGTCTTCAGTCCTGCCAGCACAGGGCTTTAACCCACTGCGCCACCGGGGGCTCCAACCTCTGAGGATGCTTGCCATAGATGCGGGCGAAACATCAGGAGAGAATGCCTCTAGAACATGGCCATATAGTCTGGAAAAACCCACAAGAACTTAGTGATTCCAGCCATGAAAGCCTTTGACAACCAAGCACAGCTTAACACCCCTCAACAAAAGATTCCCCCAGGCTCAGCCAGGCCTTCACATGCTAATGAAGGTGGTCAGTTGAAACATTCACACCTAACTCCAGCAGAGAAGAGCTCTTTGCCCCACCCTGGTCATTCCACAGATATATAAACCCTTTTTCCTAGTTCCAAAAGACCTCACTACCTCTGAGGATGCTTGCCATAGATGCAGGCGAAACGTCAGGAGAGAATGCCTCTAGACCATGGCCATATAGGACCTCACTACCTCTGAGGACGCTTGCCATAGATGCAGGCGAAACGCCAGGAGAGAATGCCTCTAGAACATAGCCATATAAGCCCGAAAAAACCCACAAGAACTTAGTGATTCCAGCCATGAAAGCCTTTGACAACCAAGCACAGCTTAACACCCCTCAACAAAAGATTCCCCCAGGCTCAGCCAGGCCTTCAAATGCTAATGAAGGTGGTCAGTTGAAACATTCACACCTAGCTCCAGCAGAGAAGAGTCCTTTGTCCCACCCTGGTCATTCCACAGATATATAAACCCCTTTTCCTAGTTCCAACAGACCTCACTACCTCTGAGGATGCTTGCCATAGATGCAGGCAAAACGTCAGGAGAGAATGCCTCCTGAACATAGCCATATAACCCGAAAAAACCCACAAGAACTTAGTGATTCCAGCCATGAAAGCCTTTGACAACCAAGCACAGCTTAACACCCCTCAACAAAAGATTCCCCCAGGCTCAGCCAGGCCTTCACATGCTAATGAAGGTGGTCAGTTGAAACATTCACACCTAACTCCAGCAGAGAAGAGCTCTTTGCCCCACCCCTGGTCATTCCACAGATATATAAACCCATTTTCCTAGTTCCAACAGACCTCACTACCTCTGAGGATGCTTGCCATAGATGCAGGCGAAACGTCAGGAGAGAATGCCTCCTGAACATGGCCCTATAGCCCGGAAAAACCCACAAGAACCCAATGGGAGAGATACTCAGTGGCCGAAGGCGGCCGGAGGGGCCACTCCCCCCTCGCCTCCCCTCCCCGGCCACTCGACTCACCGGCGCCTCCTCGGCCTTCTCTCTGCTTCTGAAAATGGCGCCGGCGGCGAAGGGGGCGTGGCCCGAGTGACGTCACTACGCCGCCCCTTCCGAGGAGGGTGACGCAAAGGGGCGGGGTCTCTGCGGTGCAGCAGCACTCCCGATTGGCCGCTCGGGAAGCTGATTGGCAGGCGCGCTCAGGGCGGAAGGCGCCTCCCTCCCTCCCTCCCTCCCTCCCTCCCGCGGGGCTCATTTGCATGTTTAAAGGGGAAGCGGGGTTTCCCAGCACCATTGCATGCACACCATTGTCAGGGATTGCCACGGGGAACTCTTCTTTGGGTGGATTGACCTATTATTTTAATAGGCTTGATTGTCCTAATCATAGAATCCTAGAATCCTAGAGTTGGAAGAGACCTCCTGGGCCATCATCCAGTCCAACCCCATTCTGCCAAGAAGCAGGAATATTGCATTCAAATCACCCCTGACAGATGGCCATCCAGCCTCTGTTTAAAAGCTTCCAAAGAAGGAGCCTCCACCACACTCCGGGGCAGAGAGTTCCACTGCTGAACGGCTCTCACAGTCAGGAAGTTCTTCCTCATGTTCAGATGGAATCTCCTCTCTTGCAGTTTGATCAGTGATGGAATTGGGCCAAACTTCGCACACAGAACCCCCATGACCAACAAAAACATCCTGTGTTTCCTGATGGGCTTTGGCGACCCCTCCCCCAGGGTCCCGACCCCCAGGCTGAGAAACACTGGCCTCGGCCCAGCCTGTGTGTCCCTCCCTCCCCCCCCAGGTGCCTTGGCCTACAACTCCCAGCAACCCCAGCCAGCCTCAGAGACAAAACTCCTTTTGTATTGTTGAAGGCTTTCATGGCTGGAATCAATAGGTTCTTCTGGGTTTTTTCGGGCTATATGGCCATGTTCTAGAGGCATTTCTCCTGACGTTTCGCCTGCATCTATGGCAAGCATCCTCAGAGGTAGTGAGGTCTGTTGGAATTAGGACAATGGGTTTATATATCTGTGGAATGACTGGGGTGGGGCCAAGAGCTCTTCTCTGCTGGAGCTAGGTGTGAATGTTTCAACTGACCACCTTCATTAGCATTTGAAGGCCTGGCTGAGCCTGGGAAAATCTTTTGTTGAGAGGCGTTAAGATGTGCCTGGTTTCAGTGTTGCTTTGTTTTTGTTTGAGAGGAGGGGTTTCTGTGTTTAAATTTAACTGCTTTCAGTGCTGCTTTGTTTGTTTGAGAGGCGGGGCTTCTGTGTTTAAATTTAACTGCTTTCAGTGCTGCTTTGTTTGAGAGGCGGGGCTTCCTGGTTACCCTATATAAA